TGATCCTACTCTCATTACTCCCCCTTCCACTTTCCCTGTTATCCTTCATTCAGTTCCTATTTCTTTTACTCCGTCTAACAAATCCACCCTCGCTGAGTTGTGTAAAGAGAATCTTATTCATCCGGATAATGTTCATAGTGAGCGTTGGTTGGGTAATCCCCAAGCCAACAAAAAGTCACATGGTTCCATTATTGTCAATCTTCGTGACAAGAATCTTGCCAAGAAAGTTGAAAAAGGTTGTCTTTTTTTTAATAACTTATGTCTTAACGGTGCTCACTTCAAAAAGTCCCCAATTCAGTGTTTCCAATGTTTAGAAATCGGTCATACTGCTCAGTTTTGTAAGAATACTCCTTTGTGTAAACATTGTGGCGATGCCCATAATTCAAAAGATTGTTCTTCTGATATTGGTAATGATAAGTGTGTAAAATGTATTCAATTTGAGAAGTCTAATAATCCTTCATCTGAGTTTGACGATGACAATGTTCGCTTCTATCATTCTCCTTTGAGTATCAAGTGCCCTCTTAAAACTAAGAATTTTCGCCGTAACATTATTAATCAATGAACGATCACAACCTATTGTTTCCAAACTTGTTTTCTTTTCCTAATTCCCAACCTAGTTCCTCTGTATCCTCTTCAAACGATCCAAATCATTCATCATTTAAAATTCTTCAATTGAATTGTCACAACTCCTTCGACGTCACTTCAAGCGCCCTCAACGCGGATTCCGACTTTTCTATTCTGGCTCTTCAAGAACCTTGGATCAATCCCCACACATTGAAACTCCCTCACTATAGCAGATGGTCTTGTTTTCTCGATTCCAATCACTCGCCAGTCGACTACAACAATAAACATCGAGTTTGTTTCCTCTTCAATAAATCATTTTCTTCCAAAGACATTCATCCACTTCGCGACGGCAATCGGGTTTTATCGGCCATCGACCTCGATATCAACAATGACCAAATGAATAAAATTCGACTCATCAATCTTTATAATCCCCCAAGATCATTTGAAGGCATAAATCTTCTTAATGATTGGTTTAATTTACATAATAATCGTCATATTCCTACCTTCATTTTTATGGATTCTAACCTTCATCATCGTCTATGGAACCCTTCCAATTACAACCACACACATCAACAGTCTAAAGATTTGATTCGAGCCTGTGGCCGTAATGGCTTCAAAATCATCTCTGAAAAAGGCTCCCCCACTTTCATTAATCGTAGAACCAGCTCAACAGTTATTGATCTTACTTGGTGTAATTTTCTGGCTACTAAGTTTGTTCGTTCGTGTGTTACTTCATCGGTAAACTTTGGTTCTGATCATCAATCCATTGTTCTTCAGTTAAATTTTAATCCTCATCCTGTTCATGTTTCGCGTTTGTCTGTTGACCTTCAAAGAATTGATGTTGATAAGTTTCGTAAAGATTTGTCAATCAGCCTTGAGTCTCTTAATAATTTCTCTCTTAATTGTACCGAAGATATCGATGCATTTGTCAACTTACTAACTTCTTCTTTCCAAAACTCAATCGATCACCAAAAAAAACGGGTCAGCTCGAATACGGTCAAGTTCAAAGCCTGGTGGGATAAGGACATCCTCTCACCAATCATTTGGAACAGAAACCAAGCCAGAAAATGGATGCTCGTCGCCCATTCAGTTCAAGCGTGCGATTGTTATCATCACTGGCAGAAGGTTTTCAAAGACAAGGTTTTCGAACTCAAACGCTCTCATTGGCGTAGGTTCCTGGCAGAAAGCAAAGACCATCAGATTTTCAAAGCTTATAAGTTTACTAAACCCAGTAGCAGCGGTAGCGTTGCTCCGTTGTTGAATGAGGATAATGTACTTACTTCCAATAAAGAAGAACAAGCTCACCTTCTCTTTAAAGGCACCTCGGAAGTCCCAATTAACTGCGACCTTGCTTATGTCCAACTTCCAACTTTCCCTAATTCTTTTTCCTTCCCTGATATCTCCAACCTTGAAATCGACAACATCCTATCAAAGCTACCCAAGAAAAAAGCCAGTGGTCATGATGGCATCGCTAATGAATCTCTTCTATGGAGTAAAAATCTCATTGTTCCGTATCTTACCATTCTTTTCTCCGCTTGTCTTCGGTTGGGATATTTTCCATCCGCATGGAGACATGCCATAACAGTCATCATTCGCAAGGCGGATAAGGAGTCTTATGCTCTTCCGGGGTCTTATCGCCCTATCGCTTTACTTTCCTGTTTAGGGAAGATCTTCGAAAGTTTGTTGACCAAAAGGATTACCTTTTGGGCAGAGAACAATGATGTTTTAGCTCCCGGTCATTTTGGGGGAAGAGCCAACAGATGTACAGATGACGCTAACCTATTTTTATCTTCTTGGATCCGCCAGAAATGGAGGGAAAATAAGCTTGTTTCAGCCTTGTTTCTTGATGTTAAATCTGCCTATCCTTCAGTTATCAAGGATAGATTGATTGATACATTAATTAAAAAAAGTATTCCGTCTTACCTGGCAGCTATCATCCAATCCCTTCTTTCAAATCGTTCTACCTCCCTTCGGATGGAGGACTATCTTTCCCCTTCTTTTGTTCTGAATTGCGGTCTTCCTCAGGGATCCCCATTATCACCTATTCTTTATATTATCTATAATTCGGAACTACTAATGAATAATTCTCTTAATCTCAATCAAAACAGGTTTTCATTGGGTTTTATCGATGATGTGACTCACTTTGTTGCTGATAAAAATCTCGACAGTGCTGTCTCTCTCCTGGAAGAGGAAGGCACTCGGTCTCTAGAATGGGGAAAGAAAAATAATGCTATTTTTGATAAAAGAAAAGCAAAATTCATGATCTTTACTCATCGTTCAGCTAATGTCCGCTCTTTCAAGTTAGGTGAAATTAGCATGGAAAAATCCGATTCAGTCAAATACATCGGGATCCTTCTGGATCCTCGCCTTTCATTCAAGCTTCACCTCGACAAAGTCAAAAAATGTGGTGTCAATACAATCAATCAGCTCAATAGGATATCTCGATGTTCTTTTGGGTTGGGCTTACAACAATCAAGAAACCTAATTATCAGTGTCCTTCGGTCCAGAATTCTGTATGGAAGTAGTATTTGGGCTTCTAAGAGGAATGAAGTAGCGGTTAAGAATGTGATTAGTAAAATTTGTAACCAAGCCAATCGAGTTATTTTGGGGGTCTTTAGGACTACTCCGTGTAATTTCCTTGACAGGGACTCACCACTTATTCCTTTTTTTGATGTGTTAAAAAGAAAAAATCATTTGTATTTTATTAAAAAACTTACAGCTCCCGATAATCATCCTATCAAACAACTCATCGGTCAGGAAATCGATTCTCAACCTTCAAGTCATCGCTCCTCAATTCACAATGTCCTGGATCGTCAATTCTTTCAGGATTACGATTTACAGTCTCTTGAAACAATTCGATTTCACATTATTCCCCCTTGGACTGACTTTAAACTTGATGTTGATAACATTAATGTTAAAAAAGACAAAGTCAAATCAGTTGTTACTAATCAAATTCTTCGGAAAAAGATTAACAATGAATACTTACTTTTTACAGATGGCTCTAGCATTCCTGAGAAAGGGACGGCTTCAGCAGCTGTGCTTAACAACTCGATTTCTTTTGCCTGTAGAATTAATGATGCGGATAAGGCTTCAGCCTTTGAAGCGGAGGTTCAGGCTATCAACATCGGTCTCGACATAATCAATAATCAACTCAACAACAATAACTTACCTTTCTCAAATCGTATCAACATCTATTCAGATAATCAGGCAACCCTTCAAGTAATCGCAAAACCGCCCCTTTCGTCATCCAATCAGTCGACCTTCATTCAGATTTTCGACAAATTGGTTTCACTTCGGTCGTCCCTTCAGTTTTCGATTTCGCTTTTCTGGTGTCCAGCGCATGTCGGTATCCCGGAAAATGAGAAGGTGGATCAACTCGCCAAAAATTCGACGGAAGGCAATCCACTTTTTAATCTCGATCAACAAACTAGAACTCTTTCTAATATTCAACAAGTGGTCAGATCAAAATTCAGATTCGCCAAAAGAAAGAATCCGATCAGTCGAAACAACATTTCATTAACCAACATACCAATGAAGATTTTTGATTCCCTTAGCCGGTTAGAACGGGGACTGAGTTCGACAATTTATCAACTTCGAGCCGGGCATTCACCTCTCAACGATTTTCTGTTTCGAATCAATAAAATCGAGTCACCAAATTGTCTTTTCTGTCAATCGCCGGAAACTGTCAATCATTTTCTTATTCATTGCAAAAAATACGACAATCAAAGGAGAAGATTCAGATCACGTTTAATCTCTGACAAAGTCAAAATCAATCCGAATTCTCTCAAAAACTTACTCGATAATCCATCAGTTTTCAAGTTATTATCGATTTTCATCCTCGAAACCAAGCGATTCAAAAATATTTCTAATTATATCGATGAAGAATGATTTTTTTTTTTTTTTTAGTTATCTGTTTCTTTCTTTCTCTTTTTCAAGTTATCATTTTCTCTTTCTTTTACTTTTGATTCTCCTTTTAAAAAAAAAAAAAAAGATTTTTACTTACATGTTATTATTAGCCCGGTTCACATTTGACACTTTCGTCTGCTAACTTGTAATAAAATATCTGCTTGCTGAAATTAAAATATGTATAAAATTTTACACTTTTCAGCAACGTACCTGTTGCTGAAAATCTGAAATTTTAATATTAATTCAGCAACACACTTACCAACTACATAAACCTCCCAGATCCCCGATCGGGTTACTCCACCAGTCACCACTACTTCTGAATATTCCACAAGTTCCGGTCAGCATCGGCTTTGGCACACATCCGCACCTTCTCTTTTCCTTGGTTTGAAACCCATCCTTCCCACCTTTTCTTTTCCTTTGGGTTCTCTCATCAACAGGTGCTTTATTTTGAGTTTTTTTTTGGCTTATGTAGAAGCTGATTATATGTTTTTTTTTTCTTTTTCCTTTTATAGCCTAGGTTGAACTCCGCAATGCAGTCATTTGAGGAAGTTGATCCTTCTTTACTAGCGGCATCCCAAGATCCAACATTCTCAGTCCCATCTTTAAATTCCATTGCAAGCAAGCCACCTCCCAACAAAAAACATACCCGCCGCACCAAAAAGCAGATGGCCCTTGCCCGAGGCGAAGATATAACGAACAATGAACAAACGGCTAGTCAAAAAAGACACAAATCGAGTCAACGTCAAAGAGGTTCTCAAAAAAAAGGGACACAGTCAACCCAGAAGACTATCACGGAGAACGATAATAATCCCCAGTTCATTCTCACCGACTACGAAAACATTTGCTCTTACCTCGAGGATGACGAAAAATTCTCCGAGCTTTATGGCGATACCAAGACAAACGTGGGACCAAAGGTACTCACAAAGACCGCTGCCTTCAACATCTTTGCAATATTTATCAACGCACACAGCAACAAGCGTCTCAATCTAACTGGTCGGCAACTTCAACAGCGAGTGAATTACTACATCCGAAAAAAGTACTTCCCAGCCAAGCAGTGGGAAAACCAGACTGGTGCAGGGATCCTTGAGATGGATCCTCATGCTTCGATCGATGAGGCTTTGGAAGCCAAGTGCCCTTGCTATGCTAAGATGGATGCAATCTTTGGTCGAGGCCAAACATAACTCCTCTAGCCGAATTCGACTCCAGCAATCCCACCCCAACCGGTCCAAGCCAGAAAAACACTCAAGAACGTCTGGCCGAATTTGACTCCAGCAATCCCACCCCAACCGGTCCAAGAGAGAACAACACTCAAGACCGTGAATCCTCTCCTGAAGTATTCTATCCCGGCTGGGATGAGAGTGAATCCCCACCAGCTGCTCAGCGTTCAGTAGGGGACAACGTGGTTGAATCAATGATCCCTCCTCTTCTAGGTGATGGTGAAGAGTCGGATGTTCTTCCTCAGTCAACTCCGGCATCGGTCCCTGCTTCGTTGGTCCGTACAAACCCAGATTGCACTCAAGGACAGGCGCAATCAACCCCAACACCAGCAGCTCCGCGTCGTGGCTTCCCTAATCAAGCAAATTCGAATGAAACTGGCCCGCCAAGGGATCGAGCTGATAAATCTAAATCTAGTTTGGCCACTGCCTATCAATCAGTAAGCGATAAGAAGTATGAAATGCTGAAGTCTGCTTTGAAGGACAAGAAAACCAACGATGATCGACGATTCGAATGGGATAAAGAGCGATACGAAAAAGATCAATCGGAGACAAAATTGCAGCGCGAATCTGAAGAAAAGATGCAAGCGGCACGACTGGAAGCTGAAGAGAAGAAGCAAAACGCTCGATTGGCCGCTGCTGAACGTTGGATCTCACAGGGAAAGAGTGTTACCGAAATAGATATTTTGCTCAAAGCTGTTTTCCCATAGTCTCCTCATCTATCATTTACTTCATCCGCTTCACGCTGTTCACAATTGTTTAACCTTCCAATGAATTGACTCAGTCTTTATCAGTCTCTTTCTATCTTATTATCTCTCCATTTTTCCTTTTATCTCTCTTGTTTCCTTTTATCTCTCTTTTTTCCTTTTGATTATGTCTCTATTATACTCTCTTCCTCCCTGAAACAAAGAATGATAGATCGATCACCCACAGAATTGCATTGAAGGGAATGATTACTCTTACCAATGATAACTGGAGAGAGGTAGATGAGTAGTAGCACACCACCATTTTGACTGCTTCTTTACCTGCTCGGAACGACCCAACAGTCAATTGCTTTGAAAGCAGTCTATCTACTTGGTGGTCCCAGTAAGGGAAAGGAGCCTATGTTGACTCAGACAATAGATGAGTTCATTCGACCCTTAACGATCGATATCCCTAACCTGCTATTCCTACTTTCTGGCAGCGCGATCATCTGGCATGGAATCTAGGCTCTCTCCAAGATACCCGATGTCCAGGAAATCCTCATCATCAGATTCTACAACACCTAGGTATCGGCCCTGTTCATCAAACAGATCTATGTCCTGCACTTACTACAACATAGCCTCCTCGGTCCCTTTCCTCAAACTCAATCACTTCCTTTCTGATCTTCGATCGTGTCTAATCTTTTCACTTCATCGTACTATACTCCTTTTTTTGTGTGTTTCTGTTGGTGTCTTTCTTAGGTATAATGATGACATGATGATTGCATATGACCAAACTTGAAACAAAGGACTTGCATGATTCACAAACTAATCATAAGTCTGAAAAGTAGATAGCAGAGGAAAACATCAGATTGAGGCTGATTAGAGAATTCAAACAAGATATCGAGGCCGATCAAGGTAGAATGAGTTGAAAAACAAGACATTGAGTTGAGACTGATTATAGGAGGTGACCAAGATATTGAGGCTGAGTAGAGGAGACAAACAAGAGATCGAGGATGATGAGAGGAGGAAAGCAAGAGATAGAGGCCAATCAAGGGAGAATGAGATGAAAAACAAGACATCAAGGTTAATCAAGAGAGATCGAGGGGAACACCAAGCAATCAAGGTCAAAAAAGAGGTTAAGTCATACCATAAAGTCAAAACTTAGATAGGCAATGTACCGAGGTCATGGTGATGTTTGAGGCACTTCTTTTTGATTTTCGCACGAAATCGTTCACTAGCAACAGTTGGTATATCCTCCTCGCCACTACTTTCTTCAGATTCCTCTTCAATTGTCTCTTGCTCATGTGCATCCGAGCTCGTTAGGTCGCGCCATGTGTCATCCAGGGAAGCAAGCATGTTGTGTAGTATAATGCAGGCATAGATCCAATGGATGTATGCCTGCATGTCTGTGGGCCGATATAGATGCAATCGCATTTCTTTCAAGGAAGACCACCGAGCTTTCAAGACACCAATGGCGTGTTCATTTCGCACTCGAGACTTCGCAAGGCAATAGTTGAATTCCACGTTTTCAGGTAAGTTGGCTGCTGGGACCTTATAGGGGGGAATGGTGGTCATGGTGAGACTGTATGCCGCATCTCCAATCAAGTATTGGCCTGTCCAAATAAAATAAAGAGATCAGTTGGAATTCAAAAAAATTAATGTGATGAGGAATAACTAACCAGAGTCAAAAAATTGTGATGCATTAGTATGAAGTGCCATCCTTTTGTACACCATACTATCACCACACGATCCAGGCCAGCCAGTCATGAAACTTGTAATGTATAGATCACAATCACAAATTATCTGACAGTTGATTGAGTATTGTTTTTTTCAATCCCAAAAAACATGACCATCAACGGCTGGGCGCTGGAAAAGCCGAATAGTTGTTCCATCCACAAAACCAATGCAGCCATCAAATCCTTCATTCTTCATGACTTCCGATATCTCCTTACGACGAGATTCATTTGGCCAAACGACATACTGGGGCCCAAGGGAGGTGATCGCTTCGATGACTCGCCGAGTAACTTTGATGACAGTTCCGCGGGCCACATTCAGATTTCGTGCACATCGGCCAACTGACGCTCCATTGCCATTTGATCCTAGTCTTTCGAGGGCAATTGCAAGCTGGTGTGGAACCGGAAGCTGAGGACGGAAGCTGTTGTTGTGGAAGACTGGGTGGAGATAAATTCGGTTTAAAAGCCAGACAAAACCAGCTTTGGTAGTCCGAGTAGATTGCTTGAAGTCAATTGATCGCATCTCAAACAGTCTTGCCAGGTCGAATTCATCACGATATACCGGTGGAGCCCGTAAATTAAGATATCGGCTCAAGGTGACAGTTTGAAGTAGCTCCCCTACATCAGCCTCATCGCTAAAAAGCTCGTCGGTCAGAAGCATCATTTCAGGATCGTCGGAGAAGAAGATGTTGCCTATCGTCAGACTTCCTGGAAGGTTAAAAATTTTGCTGATGAGATCATCAGTATCATCCTCATGTTGGAGGAGGAGGAGGGTGAATAGCTCTCGTATAACACTTTGCCGTTCACTGAATTGACGCATAGATTTTGAAGGTGCTCTGGAAGGTGGTGTTGTGTTGAATTGTACCGGGTGCCAGTGTCAAGGGGTGTATAAAGCTGAGTGATGACAAATTTTGAAGGTGAGATGGCCAAGTAGCCTGGGCTGTAATCTTAAGGGAAACCGGGGAGAGTGTAACAAGAATTCCCAAGCTTTCAGAGCGTTTCCATGTGTGGTTCATTTGTTAAAGACTGCTGAAACCGACTGAAACTAGCAGGCGCAGCAGGATAAATCTCATGCTGTGCAGTCCAGTTGGTCTGCTAAGTTCAGATAAAAAGTTTGCTGAAAATTTTGAATTGTGAACCGTCCTATTCAGTTATCGGGTTATTGGTAGGGTGATCGGACTTTATCCTAAATTTAGGTCGGGTTCGGTTGACTTTCTGCCCGCTTTAATCTAGGGTATGTGGCTTGAGCAACCACATAACACACTGTCTGGGCCGCAGCTGTGACGAAAGTCAACTGGACTCGGCTTCATATGAGGGGTTTAGTCTCGATAAAAGAGTCGGATTTTTCATGTTATGTATTTTTCTTTTTGGGCGCGGTTTTTCTTTCTTTTTCTCTTTTCTCACTCATAATTATTTTCAACACTCAAAGTTATAAATATTTTAATATTCTATCATGTATTGTTTTCAAAACATCATCGTATGTATATAGACACTAGTATTCACTAAAGTGCGCAATGTCAAATCAATAAGCACTAAAAAAAAAAAAAAAAAAAAAAAAAAAAAAAAACACCATAACTTTAGCGCTTGGAAAACACTCGTTTGTCCAAGCTTTATTCAAAAGACAATATGTATGCGGGTGATCTGAGTGATCCCCACATCTAAATTTGCTCCATCACGTCGTACACACATACAGCCTCCGAGGACATGTATTGGCAGCCTGTCTGACCCTCATCCCTTTCAAGAGCTTGGTTGCTATCTGCGGTCGTTACTAGCCTCGGTCATTCCTTTTAATAGACGGACTCACTTGCGGGCGGACAGGCCTCGGTTATGCCATTCCCTCCTCAGCAGCCATCTCCATTCGTTCGACAACAAACTCAACAGGCTGTAATTCAACCAGGTTATTCGTAAGGAAACCGCAGAAATTTAATCAGGAAAACGGATCAGTCATCAGTCATTTGTATCAATACCATACACGCATAAACACAAAACTTGAGCCTTCGGATTGTGCTAACGGATTATCCTACCGGTTGGCCTAACAGGATGCGGTCCAATCTTACCAAGTTGGCCCTACTTGGATGGATAATCGGAATTTCCGATGTTGTTTGTCAAGCTCAAGCCCCATTGCGACTCCAAAAATCGGGCATCAAGCAATCTGACCAAGACAAGCAGAGAGCCGAAGAGGTGAAGACCACATTCATCGGTGCCTTCGATGATTATATCAAGTTTGGCTTCCCTGCAGACGAAGGTTCGTTCTCCAGTTCAGAACAGAATCGCTCAACTTGATTAATCGCACCATCCACATCGCTGACTCTCATCACTTGCACATGGACAATTTAAATTTCTCATAGTCAAACCCCTCAGCAAAACTGGCCGAAATACTCGCAATGGCTGGTAAGCCTTCTAAATGCAAAAAAAAAAAAAACAGAATCATTTGAGCTTTTTGCTGATGTCTGGAATTGACCTTCAATCTTCTAATGGTGATCCAGGTCAGCTACTTTGGTGGACTCCCTCGATACCCTTTTTGTGATGGATCTTCAGGTGAGTGTTTTAGGATTTGTATAGCAGATCCCCATCTGTTCAACCCAGCTGACGTAAGAGAGCTTGGTGAAATGTAGGAACGATTCGCCCAGGGAGTGGCAGACACTTTAAAAATCGATTTCTCAAAGAGTCAAACCGAGGAGGTGAGTTATCTTGATCAAACTGGGTGGGGGGGCATATGGAAGCTGATAATCTTTGGAAACAATAGGGTGTCTCTATTTTCGAGACGACCATCCGATACATCGCCGGAATCCTCGTGAGCAGCCACTTTAGATCACATCCTTTCGGATGCCGACCAACGCAATTCTGAAGCAAATGCAAGATATTTTTTTCATAGTCAGCATACGAGTTGTCAGGAGCTACCAATGCCCCACTTCTTGACCAGGCCCGCAAGCTAGCCGACAAACTTCTCTTATGCTGGCAAGATGATCAACAGAACTTGCCGTTCCCCTTCCTTGATTTCACTACCAACAAGCCAGTCGTACGAGATTATATCAGTGCTGCATCTGTGAGAGCTTTCGCCACTCTATCTGTCACATTCAAGAACTCTTTTTTCTGGCAGTAATTAACCCAAATCTCTCACTCAGGCGGGATCTTTAATCATGGAATTCGATCGCTTGAGCTTCTACACTCGCCAGCCCAAATACCTCGCATATGCCACTAAGGCGGTCCAAACTGTCATCAGTAAGTATCTATTCTCTCGGACTCGCAACCAAAGTAGGAATCATTCTCATGAAGCCTTCTATAGAAACTCCTTCTCCCCTTCCCGGGCTCCCTGGATTGACATTTGGGGTTAAGAATCAAACCATACTGAGTAACTACGCCACTTGGGGTTGTGAGTTTTTCATCTAGAGAACATTTGACTTTTCTCCAAAACGTAAAACGACCACCGACTTTTTTTTCTTTCTGTTCAATCGATTGTTTTAGCGGGCACAGAGTATGTCATCCTCTTTCCAACATCAGATCCCTGTCCACTCCATTTATTGAAATTGATTCCCATTTCAGCTCTTACTTGGAGTACCTTTTGAAGTACGGCATGCTTATCAACAACAGTGACAACTCATACTACAAAAGTAACCATTTTTCCATAAGATCACTCCTGAAGCCCCGCCTGATTTGTTTCTCGTCCCATTTGAACAGCCTGGAAACAGGCGGTGCAATCATCTATTCAAAAGCTAATCCAAGTCTCCCCTGTGCGAAACTTGACCTACCTGGGCGGGTATTCGACTTCGAGCAACACTCCTGACTACGAATTTTCTCATCTGGCTTGCTTCACCGGTGAGTTCACACTAGTGAGTCCTCGCAAATCGGGCTGATGGATACTGATTGCCCGTTGATGGTAGGCGGAAACTGGCTCATGGGAGGAAAAGTCTTCCAAGACGATCAGCTAATTGATTATGGTCTGAAGCTAATAGCGACTTGCATGGAAACTGTTGAGTTTTAGTCTTTCACCTCTTGCACACTCCACAGGAAAAACAAAGTAACTGAGTCTGAATTGTGGACAATGCAGTATAAGCGCACTGCCACTGGTCTTGGTCCAGAAATCTTTCGGTTTTTGGGACCGAAAGGTGAAACTACTGACGAGAAGCCAAGCCCGCAAGTTGAGTGTTGACTCTTCATTAACGACTTATCAAGCATCTTTAACTGATGAGAGCTTGTCAACACACAACTCAGGACCTGGAGTTCTTTCGGGCCAATGGTTTTTATATTGCGAATGCAGCCTACCATTTACGGTGAGTTTGAATAACTAGAGTAGATGTTGTTTCATCGTTTTTGACTTAGCTTGACGATGCCCAAACACCCTCACTCAGACCCGAAGTCATCGAATCTGTCTTCTATGCTTGGAGGTTGACTGGGGACACCCAATACCAAGAATTCGTCTGGCAGGCTTTCAAATCCCTCCAGAAGTACTGCAAAGCCCCTGCCAGCTATTCTGATATTGAGGACGTCAACTCTTCCTCCAACCCCAAACCAAAAGATGCTTCAGAAAGTTTCTTGTAAGTTTTTTTTTTTTCTTTTAAACTGTTCAGTTTGGTGAGGATGAATTAATATGGAGGCTGATTAATTCCAAATCGTTTGATTTGTAGGTATGCCGAAACTTTCAAGGTTGGTTCATCCTTCTAGGATCATTTCCCGAACTTGGCTAACCATTTTTTGATCTTCAATCTTAGTATATCTACTTAACCTTTTCGGACCCTGAGCTTTTGTCGTTAGATCAATACGTCTTCAGTTGAGTATTTCAGTCTCATTGAATCACCTGCTCGATCGACGCGAAGCTCGAGCTCATCAGTGTTGATGCTGTGATCCCAGATACCGAGGCGCACCCTTTCCGCTATCAAGGATCGCAAAGTAAGCATTGAGGGTTTCAATCCAAAAAAGTTAGTCGACTTGACCTGGTCTAAACTGTCTACTAATTTTAACAAAGATTCTACAAGCAACTCGACCTCGACCACCACCACAACCAGCAAGAAGACCGGCGCAAAGCTAGGATCGACGTCCGCTCAAGTCGGTCGAGTCTCATCCGGCCTGCTTCTCCTCTGTCCATTGTTGATCTTTTTCTGGCTGATGTGATCGACCCATCTCACATTTGGCAGTTTCCCTTTTCATCTCAAAAGGCTTACTGACTAGGCGATGATCAGCTTCTCAAGGGGCTACATGCTAGCAATTTCTCCTCTTTTTCAGTAACCCTCCGTAAACTCGTTCAATGTCTTGTTTCTTAGAAATCTGTTCGCAATCGCATTGGTTCTTTCTGGAACCGCATCCCCCCCTGACTTAACTACCGAGCAGCATTGTAATTCCACTCCACTTCGCTCTATCTCTTTTCGTTGTCTGTTGTTTGCTTATAGTATTGGTCTTCACTCGGGATTGCATGCTTAACATATTCTCATTACACCACTCGCACCTCATTGTTTAACTCGTTTTTTTTCTAGCTCTGGATTGGAAATAATCTTTAAATTTCATCCCCGGAATTTAACCGGGCAAAATCGATGGGAGTTATTTAAAAGACGGATGGTCTCCATGCCCCCCCCCCCCCCCGCAGTCGATAAGAACCATGTCGGCCGAGGGCCTATATATCATGTTTGCCAATTGATTAGTTTGCCATGGACGCAGCTCCTGAGTAGTGGGATTTACCAAATTTGACTATGATCTGTTGTGAGCTCCTTATGGTTGTTGTGTATGTTGTTGTTGTTGGGGCAGTGAGATCGCACTATAAGCACCATCAGCCCCTCAACAAGTTATGTGTAGGCCCTAGGGATAACATCCTTCTTGGGATGTTGACTGTTGAGCAGTTTTGTTATCGAGATCTTTACTTAACCCCATTGGAATTGGGTTCCTTGGTCCGGTTTTCTTATCTTGTATGTATGGCCATCATATTTGATTCGTCCACCTCTTCTATCATACAGTAACATACGGTCTCGATCCATCCACAGAAGTTTATATGTACAAACATGAAGATGTAGAAGAAGAAAACGAAAGGTAAAAAAATGAGAGAAAGCATAGTTGAGGGTTATGTACATACAAAGGGAGAGAACCCACACAAGTTCCAATGGTGTTTGACATGGTGGGTGGGCTTTCTGCAGGTTTCTGGGTTGTACATATTCAAGACATCCTTAAATACTATGTAAGCTGGTTGAGAGAGTGTCTGTTCGCAGTCAGTCTTGTCATAATACTTTGTTTTTCGCAGGGGCTGCTGACATCCGGATGAGTTGAATTTTATCTGTAAAGTATCTTTGAAGTTGAACTCGTGTGGATGGTTCTCATCCATGGGTCAGTTTTGTGCGCTGTTTTTGTTTGTCAGTATTGATGGGAAGTGTTGGAAATGGATGAAGTTTTCAGTCGATCAGTGAACCTGGATGATAAGTAATAGATCATGGCTGCTTGATGAGGGAGCTGGCGATGTGGATGGATGTATGATGAACCCTCGTTGTGGCTTGAGATACACAGAGTGCTTACATTCGGGGATGATGATGATGGTGGTGAGTGGTTGGTTGCTGTTTGAGTGTCCTTAACGATGATGATGGTTGTAGGATAAGCTCAACAACTCCGACAGCCACCCTCTTTCTGTCAATCTACTGATCAGATTCACTTGGACAGGCTGAGAAATACAAACTCACACTCCCTCAACTTCGCTTCTCTTCCCTCGCCTTCCAACACCCACCAACCCATCAAATCAAATTGTAACCAACTGATCAGCACAATTCCCTTATTTCTGTTTTTTTGTTTTTCTTGTTGTATACAAATCACAATCCACTAGGCTTGTACACTCCAATTCCATTCTTCCTGACCCTTGCTCTCTCCCTCAAAACCTTATTCAACACTCTCATCCACCATGAACCACCATCCCCATCAACAACACCACCCACCACTACCACCCCAACAACAACAACAACAACAGCAGCAACAACCTCCTCCTCACATCGACTTCCTCTTCGATCTCATCCGGACCGAGAAGACTTTTGCCAACGATCTCTTCACGATCATCAACCGGATCGCCTCTGCCTATTCGCCCACCAACTTCCCCCCCGCCCACCTCGACCGTCACTTCAGGTTGATCGAGTCCATCTTCAGAGCCCACAACTCATTCCTCTCCCAGTCCATCCTGCCCATCGACCCCCCTCAGCCAAACTACCATCTGCTCGCCTTCGTCAGCCTCTTCAACCAGCTCATCCGTCATCTCCTGCCTGCTTACCATCGATACTGTCATCCCAGCGGCTGGGCCGGTGCGGGTGGTTGGTCCCGCGATCCTCACGTCAACTCAAATCACTTACTCATCCAAACCCTACTCTCACTCGATTGGCCTGGCTCACTAAGCCTGCCCACCCAACCGCCAACTCACACAGCCCCAGCAGCACCCTCCTGCCCTCCGATCTTCCCCGAGGCACCCTACCCAACCGATGACCTCCTGCTCTATGACTCCGACTCTGCCGTCCATGCCAGCCTGACCGTCTTCTTCGCCCTGCCCTTTGCCAGGCTGTTCTACTATCGCAAACTCTCTCAGTTCCTACTCCAGATACTCCAGCATGGCAGGCCCGAACACAAGGCAGTCTATGACTCCGCACAGCAAATCTCACTCCTGCTCGATCGTGGTCGAGCCCAATGGAATATCTCCCCACTCCACTTCATCTCTCCCAGCCAACCGCCATCCGATCCACTCCCTAACCAAGCTCTACCGACTGCTCAAGCTTCAACAGCTCAACAGAGTCGTCAGTTTTCCCATTGATAATCACCCTTGGTGTTTTTTTTTGGAATGAAAAAAGTACTCATGTAGATTCTTCCCATCCTTCTGGCTCTTCTATAGCTCCTAGGCGTGTCTCCCCTGTGCCACCTGCTTCGCCATCCCAGACCAATTCAACCCCTGTTCCACCTAACCTGAGGTCTTCTACTGAGACAGCCCTAAGTGGCTTGGCTGAAAGCAGTATTGGTAGCACCACCGAGTAGGCTCTTCTTCTTCTTCTTCACGCTGACTCACGACTTACTAAAATGATTAACCTTTGAAAACCTGTGAAGAATATTTGATTGATTGATTGCTTCTGCGTGTTTTGTTTTTCCCGGTTGGCTTGACAGTGAAGTGTTCGATCAAACAAACCCAAGCACCCCATTGTCATCCTCCAGTGCCACATTTGAGGCTCAGCAACAAGCAACCTTCAAAACTCCTCGTGACATGGTACAAGTCAACCGTGGTGTCTTTGTTCAACAGGCCATTTTGAACCTTCAAACCCAGCTGGACACCAGTCGCTGTTTGGACGTCTTCAGCATGGCCCCTAAGGTTAGTATCCGACCACTGACTCCTGGCATGCTCATCACTCATTCTTCTGAAACTAAACACATTGTTACGCCCTTTTTTTGTTTTCTTGGTAGCAATGTCGACTTCTCCTAGCTCCCCCCACTTTGGCCTACTCGAGATCATTAAGATACAGCGGTGACGCAAAGTTCAAAATTCGGCCCCAATCCGATCCCAACCGCGAAATTGAAACCACATCAGGTCGACTCATTCTGATCACCGACCTATTGATGTTTTGTGAATACAAGGAACAGTCGTCTCCACAACATCCTAACATGTGGTTGATGTATCCTCCCCTGGCTGGGAAGCATCTTCAGGTGACCCCCGTCGGTAATGACTCGGAATTTGGGTTTGACGTTGTTGCCATGGGAAAGGCAGTGATCCGTGTTTGTGTGAGCAGTCAGACCGAGAGAGATGCTTGGGTTCAGAATTTGCAAGAGGCCATCGAGTTTGGACGACAAGGCAAGCATTGAGGAGTTTTCAATCATTTACTATCAATACCGACTGAGCTGATTTTGATATTCAAAATTCTTCCTCTGACTCTCAACAGTTTCCCTTCAAAAACAAGTGGGCTCCATGTCTCCTGAGAACCAAACCACGCATGACGAAAACCGCAGCTCGTTAAAAAACCCAAAGTTGTCAGCTCTCTCAAGTCTGTCGATCAATGGTATTCCACCAAGGCTTGGAACCCAGTCACAACCCATTAGCCCCAGCTTTTCACACAAGAGCGAGCGCCCTCCATCCTCATTTTCCGCTTATCTCGAGCACCAAACACCTCAACTGTCCCCACCATGCCCTGGTCAATACAGCAGAAGCCCTTCGGACGCCGGAGGATCTCTTGCAAATCAAATGGCGTCACATTCATTAAGTCCGCCACCCAATGCTCACCAGCATCCTACTGCCAGCCGTGATCGTGACTCACGGGAACGCGGCGATTTCCCATCTCACCGGATGATGAACATGAACGGGGCCTCGGGACAGCCATTGAGGAGTCCAGGTGAGTTTGTCAAAACATACAGGCTTGGCGACTACTCTGGGATGGATGATGGCGTTTTCTGATGAAAGTATTTAATGTACCACCACAGGTATGTATTCGGATAGTCACCGATCTCAAACAGGTTCAGTACCATCCCATAGTGCGGGTGAGGGTGCCCATCCCGGACAGACTGCTGCCCTGCGCACACTTCGCAAAGCGCCATCTGCACATGCGCTTGGAGCACGTTTTGATCCGCGGACGACGGACCTTCCACCGATGCCGACTGCTTTCGGGCAAAGCTTGAGACCATCGGAGGACCGCAGGGCTGTATCAGGGATGCCAGGGATGATGGATCCGAACTCGATCAGACGATCTACCTCCACGGAACCATATCGGGATCGACAATACAGACCGCCCTCGGCAGCGATTAGCCGTATACATGATAGACCACCTTCAGGAGCTACCTCAGTCTCAAGATCATCGAAACTAGCAGGCCAACAGATCTCTGGATATCGATCAGATGATTCGGATAGCATCCCACCTTCAAGTCCACAGGAATCATCTCAAAACGTCCAGTCGATCCTGGTGGCTGAGATGAAGACCAAGGTGTTCTTGAAGCAATCCCACTCCCAATGGAAATCTCTAGGGACCGCTAAGCTCCATCTGTTTGTGCAGAAGGGTCGCAATTCCAAGCAGCTCGTCGTCGCTACTGACAAGGGTAAAACACTCATCTCGACGATCGTCTTGACGGATGGGATCGAACGCGTCGGTAGGACCGGCGTCGCCGTCGATATCTCCGACCGTGGGGTTCGGACTGGGATTGTTTATATGCTTCAAGTTGAGCTCTCACCTCTTCTTTCACACCGTTTGCTTTGCCCCGCCCCCCCCCTCCCCTTACTTTTTTTTGCTCTCTTTCTTGTGGCTTTTTGAGTTGATTGGGGTTTCCTTTTTTTTTTCTCAGATGAAGAATGAAAACTCGGCGGCTGGTTTGTTCGAACAACTCTTGCAAGGATCGGATCGAAGACCTAAATAAAAAAAGTCACGATGTTTTTTTTTTCCTTTCTTTCTGTTTGCTCATTCCGATCCCTCAGCTTCCTTTTCTCTCTTCTCTCTTCTCTTTCTTCTCTCTCATTCTTTTCTCTCTTGAATAAATACACAAACCCCAATAATTACAAAAAAGAGAAAAAGAAGAAAAAAAGAACTGCTCGTTTTAAAATTAATTTAATCAATGCACTGAATATGAACAAGAAGAATATACATATATATATATATATATTTAAAAGGGACACACAGTTACAAGAAAAAATACAGTCTTTTATCGCTTCCATTAATTTAACTTAATCTAACTTATTTCTTTCTTTCTCTCTTTTTTTCCATTTTCTTCTATTCTGGATCCTGTTTTTTTCTTCTTTACTTATACTAACACACACGCACACACACATGTGAAACACACTTGCTACATAAATAGTTTTCTTCTTCTTCATTATTCTGTAAAAGGGTTTTTTCTTTTCTTTTCTTTGTTCTCTGGTTGATGAAATGCTTATCATAGAAAAGGACCTTTTTCTTCTTTTTTTCAAATTTTTGAGTTTGTTCTTTTTTTTTGGGGGGGGGGGGGAAGAGAAGAGAGTCTTTAGTAAGAGTGTTGAGATCAGTGAGCTTAACTAATCCTCTCGTGACAAGAGTTGTGTGCAGGCAGGTCTGGGCGGCAGCCCAGTCTTGTCAGAGGCTTACATATTATTACTCAAAGCTCCAGTGAGACAGGCCTGTTTTTGAGGCCTGCTTTTGTATCATCACCTCTGGCTTCCAAGCCATTTTTGTCAAAATTCCATTGTAGCCTTTTTCTTGTTCTCAGCTACCATCTTGTTGATCTTTCTGCATTTTTTTTTTTTTTTTTTTTTCTTTTTTTTTTTTTTTTTTTTTTTTTTTTTTTAATTCTCATTTTGCAGGCACAAAATAAGCTTATACTGAGATTGCGCTTGCTAAGCCTCTCCTCTGCCAAATTTGCAAATCACAGTTCAAAATCATCAACTTGACTGCCTATTTTCAAGTAGATTCACACAACTTTTTCAAAAAAAAAATATATATATATATATATATATATAAGAAAATCAAGATTATGTAGATCTTTCATCTACCAGAGTCAAGAAAAAAAATGGAATCATAATGAATCAGTGGTGGGGCAAGGAAGGTTGCCACCACCAAAACGGTGTTTCTGCCTCACACTGGGAAAGCATTTTAAGTCAAGTCCCTCCCTGCGGGGGAGGGGGCGCTTCACGCCCAGCCAGTCACACCAGCAAGCCTCCCACCAGGGGACTTGTGTTAAGTTTGTGAGATCAGGTGAGCTGTGTTGTGTGGTGAGTCTCTCATACTCTCTTTGTGTGTGTGGGGTGTGGGGGGGGGGGGGCCAGAGCAATATGTGGGTGGCAGGTTACATGTCAAGTCACTGCGAAGCTTGTGCTGGGCAATGATAATCACACTCCTCCCCCCCTCCCCTGCACGCCCACGCCCCCGCCCCTCCAAAGGGGTGTGCAATCCCACCCGCCCCTCCTGGAGGGGCGGGTTTGATTGCACGCCCCTCGGAAGCGTTTTTTTTCAATAAAACACGCTTCTGAGGGGTGTGCAGAAGAACCCGCCCCTCCATAAAACACGCTTCCGAGGGGCGTGCAGAAGAACTTGGGACCCCAGCCAAGAGCCAACATAGGTTGGTTCTGGCCTGGCGGGTTGATTAAGCAAGGGGCGGGCGCTTTGACCCGCCCCTCGACAAGCTCGGAATGCTGACTAAATTAGGCTGATGTAAGCAAGACACTCTGGAGTGTTTTGCTTACATCAGCCTTCCTATGGCCATGAAGACTACGCTCTCCATGGCCATAGGAAATGTACATCCGGCCATGGCCATGGAGACTACGCTCTCCATGGCCATAGGAAATGTACATCCAGCCAGGAGGGGGAGAAACCTCCTGGCCCACAGTTGACGGTGGGGAGGAAACCTCCTGGCCGTCAAGACTGTACAATCCTGACGGCCGGGAGGAATCCCTCTTGGCCATTGAGACTGTAACCCTTCCTATGCCATGAAGACTACGCTCTCCATGGCCATAGGAAATGTACATCCGGCCATGGCCATGGAGACTACGCTCTCCATGGCCATCAGAAATGTACATCCAGCCAGGAGGGGGAGAAACCTCCTGGCCCACAGTTGACGGTGGGGAGGAAACCTCCTGGCCGTCAAGACTGTACAATCCTGACGGCCGGGAGGGATTCCTCCTGGCCATCAAGACTGTACAGTCTCAACGGCCAAGAGGCCTCTCGGCCTATCAAGACTGTACAGTCTTGGTGATTTGGCCACCAAGACTGTGTGTCTCAATGGCAAGGAGGGATTCCTCCTGGCCATGGAGACTGTACCCCTCCTGGCCAGGAGGGGTGTGCAGCCAGTCCCGCCCAAAAGGGAGGGGTGGGGATTGTTGCACGCCCCTCTGCATGCTGATTTTCAAAAAAATCAGCATGAAGAGGGGCGTGGAGCAAAACCCGCCCAAAAATACTGGCGGGTTCTACTCCACGCCCCTTCTGGAGGGGCGGGGGTGTGGGCGTGCGGGGAGGGGGGAGGAGTGCGATTATCATGGCCCGCTTGTGCTCTCTCTAAATCTCATTGCCTTCCGTACACCGGGACTCTTCCCATTGCAACTCATTGTCTTGAATACATTCACTTTGATTTGTCTGGTCAAATTAATCCTCCCACTCCAGAAGGGTTTGAATACTATTTCAAAATAACCAATCAATTCTCTTTGTATAAATTTGTTTACCTACTACAAAAGAAATCTGAGGCATTTAACTTCTTTGAGCAATTCTATAATCTGGTTACAAACCTTCATTCTCTTCCGATTAAAAACATCACCACCGACGGTGGCGGAGAATTCAATTCCAATCAATTTAAATCATTTCTTTGGGAGAAGGGTATCATGTCTCACATCACGGCTCCGTACACTCCTCAGCAGAATCCTGTAGCTGAGAGAGGTAACCGGACCACCACAGAGAAAGCCAGGGCCTTGCTAAAGCAGGCAAAACTGCATCACTCTCTCTGGGGACACGCTGTTGAAAAAGCTGTATTTCTTGAGAATATCACTCCTACCCGTAAAAAGAACTGGATTTCGGCCTACGAGATCTGGTTCAAGAGACCATTTGATTGTTCTCATCTTTGTCCTTTCAGATGTCGCGCTTACATCAACATTCCAGGTCAAAAATGGTCAGAAAAATTTGTGGATACGGCCAAAAAGGGAATCATGATTGGCTATCAGCTAGGAATGGACAACTGGCGCATTCTGAGAGAGGATGGACAAATGGAGGTGAGTCACAATGCCAACTTTGACGAGACTCTTTATCCAGGAATCTCCATGTTCGATCCCGCTTAGAGATCGTTTGTTCGGACCTGGGTACCTGTTTATACCTAGGTACCTGTTCATTTTTTCAAGAAAATAGATACCATGTACCGCACCAGACACCTCCCGGGGGGTACCCAAGGTACCCGTTGCAGGTACCTCAGGTACCCCCCTCTCTTTTTCACCTAGTTTCACTCCCAGAGTCTCAAGTCACTTTATTATTATTGTTATTTTTTCATATTTATTGTAAAATATCACTCACAAGTCACTTTTTTGGCATTTTTTAATATCTGTTGTAATATATCTACATCTAATTGGAAGAATCTTACTTTTCTATTTTTTTCATATTTATTGTAAAACATCAGTCCCAGATCACTTTTTTCATTTGTTCATATTTAATAATTTATTGAAAAGTTGAAACTATCTACAACTTATAACTAATTGGAAGAATCTTCATTGTCATCCAAAACCATCACCTTCCTTTTTGATTTTTTGTTAGACTTCTTGTTATCCTTGAGTCCCTGTTTCCATGCAGCCAAGGTAACTTCTCGGAGTAGAAGGCCACCATCATTTTGATTTTTGGTAGGGAAGTGAGGGGGTACCTGTAGAGGTACCTAGGTACCTGCTCAATTTTTCACAAAAATAGGTACCAAGTACCGCACCTGGCACCTCCTGGAGGGTGCAGGGCGGGTGCGAGGGGTACCCCCCAGGAGGTACCAGGTACCTGCAAAAAGTACGGACGAACGATCTCTAATCCCGCTGGCCTCATTTCTCCCAAGAATCTTCTGAACGAGTCAATAGAATCCGATGAAGAAGATCCTCCTCCTCCACAAACCCATCCTCAAATTGATGATTCCGATCAGTCCGATTTGGATGTCAAGCGGTTATTGACAACATCAGACAATCAAGAGGAAAATCCAGATCACTCTTTGGCTCAATCAAGGCCGCGTCCTGGTTACAATGTTGTTCTCCAACCTGCCAATCAAAAGGACCCAAAAGACATTAGCAGTGACATTGACACAAGTAATATCGTCAATACCAAACGCAGGGCTCCCGTGGCAATTGCCGATCAAGATTTCGACTTTCATGTTCAGTGTTTTCTTGCCGGCGCCCAGTTCTTTGATCAGACTTCAGAAGCTCCAAAAACCTATTCACAGGCTATGAAGGACCCCAATTCTGCAAGTTGGTTAACAGCGATAGAGGCTGAATTGTCGGCAATGGAAAGACTTGGTGTATGTAAAATCCTTGATATTCCCGCTGATGTCGACCTTCTAAATACTGTTTGGATATTTCACAAAAAGTTCAATGAGAATGGCAAATTGTACAAATTCAAAGAAAGACCCTGTGCAGCCGGAAATTTCCAAGTAGAAGGTCTAAATTATGCCGAAACATATGCTCCAACTGGTTGACCTACAGCTTTACCGTCCCTTTTTTCTATGGGTGTGGCCAACAATCTTCAGATACATCAAATGGACGTCAAGAATGCCTTTCTCAATGGCAAACTTGATGAGACCATTTATCTAAGAGCTCCTGCCGGACTCTCAATACCCAAAGGAAAATGTCTGCTGCTTCTCAAGTCTATTTATGGCTTAAAGCAGGCTCCTAGAGTATGGCATCATGAACTGTCGTCATTCTTCAAGTCAATCAATTTCTTGCCCTCGGATGCAGACCCGTGTCTGTTTGTATCAAATCACTCTGACTGGGAATGCTGGGTTCACGTTTACGTGGACGACATGGTCATTGTTAGCAAGGATGTAGATAGGTTCAAAAAGTTGGTTACATCCAGGTATCTGATGGACAATCTAGGATCACTAAGACATCTTCTTGGAATGAAAATAGAAACACTCAACTCGTCTATAGGATTGTCTCAAAAAATCTATACTGAGAAAATTCTTTCCTCCTACGGCATGCTCAACTGTAGGACCGTGGAAACACCAATGGTTCCTCACACTCGACTAGTCCCTGCTTCTCCTGAAGATCAACTTGGATTCAGAAATCTTGGGATCCACTATTGACGCGCTATCGGCCTGCTTAATTATTTAGCCGTCTCTACTCGCCCAAACATCTCTTTCACCATGTCTCAGCTATCACAATTTCTTGAAAACCCGGGTATCAAACATTGGGCTGCCTGCATTCATTTACTCAGATATCTCTGTGCGACTTCAAAATGTGGAATCACCCTGGGATTGTCGATTGCTCCAGTCAAAATATTTGTTGACGCTGATCACGCCAACAATAAAATTCATTCTTACTCATATTCCTCCTACCTTGTTATGCTTGGTGACAGTGTGGTCTCCTGGAAATCAAAGAAGAACCCAACTGTCTCGTCATCCACAACTGAGGCCAAGTATATGGCACTGTATGAAGGTGGCCGTGAAGCCATTTGGATAAAGCGGCTGCTCAAATCTCTCAACATTTCTCATGAGGGTCCAATTCCGATAATGTGTGACAATCAAGTGGCCATTGCTCTCTCAAAGAACTCTGTATTCCATGACAGGACAAAACACTTTTGGATTCACCTGCACTGGATCTGAGATCAGGGAACAAGTAAACGAGCAAACCGTTTCTCCACTCTACATTTCAACTCACTCCAACTTGGCTGAGTTCCTGACAAAGTCTCTCTGCAAGATGAAACACAATTCTTGTGTTCTGGGCATCAGCCTGTTGGGTTGAAAATGAGGGGGGGTGTTGAACTTCCAGTCCAAAGGGTTCATTTTCACCCTGCTGCGGCGCATCAAGTCACCAACACGTGGTGAGACACACAAGGTTGGAACCTAGTTCCTCATTGGCTGTTGTATTTAGAGTTACTTCCATGTTCATGTTGTACTCTTTTCTTCATCCGATTTTTCTAGTTTTCTTCTCCTTGTTGCCTGAGTCTTATTTCACTGTTCCTCCTCACTCTTTGACCCAGGTCTGTAGTCTGTTCATCTCTCTTTTCTTTTTCTTTTTGTCTTTCTCATTTCTCATCTTGGTTTGGAAACCAAAGGTTAGAAATGAAAGATCCGGTTTTTCTAGTTTTCTTCTCCTGGTTGCCTGAGTCTCATTGCACTGTTCCTCCTCACTCTTCGACCCAGGTTCGCTTCAGTCTCTCTTTGTCGTTAGTCCACGAGTACCGTGTCCTAACATCTTGGTTCAGAAACCAAAGATCTTGATCAGTTCTTTAAGTTTGTCAAAGGAAGAGGAAACATGCGTTTTGGATCAATAAAGACGGGAAATTTAAAGGTGAGATTGGTCAGGCGGTGGAACTAGATGGATTGAGTAATAATGATATCAGACGATAAAGAGGTTGTAGTTTGTCAACCTTGAGTTCCACAAGGAGGGGAATCTAGGATGGAGGGAAACAAGAGTTTAAGTAATTGACAAGTGAGAGTTTGGAAGGATGTTTGGACTCATGACATCATCAATGTTTTTGGTCAGTGATGTAATTCTAATATGGTCTAGAAGAATCAAAATGAAGATGATGCAAGGGGTTTGAGTCTGGAGTTCAAAAAAGAATTGAGAGAATTAAATGATGACAATATGAGGGGCTTGAGTCTAGAGGTATCAAGCTCAAATGTTCACAACAATAACACATTGATGGAATCAGGGCTGCTAGTATTGCAATAATTTCAATGCCCTTTCCATTAGGGGGGTTCACAAGAGCGTTTTTTGCTTCCCGCCCCAGTTATTTTCTTTTCTTGCCTACTGAATGCAGCCTTTTGTCTGCTAAAACTGAGTGCGCAGCATCTGCGGCGCCACAGCACAGGACCTGAGAAAATTCTTGCGGATGCCATGACTGTTGCTTGGGAATAGCTGTTGTGAACCCCCCTATTACGTTTTCTTTTATTACCTCCATTTTTTTTCTTGTTACATTATCCACCACTGGCACAACTAAAGGTGGTTTACCAATGAATAACTAGGTAAATAAAACAGATAACTTTGTGTTTGCGTTTTTTCTTGGTAATGGGGGGGAAATCCCCCTTTGTTATGTTAATCATGACCTGAAAACCCAGTTTGTCTGGATAACACTAATGGTGTCATATGGACAGCTGGGACGTTAAGTTACAAGAATACCTCCAGATATTGTAACATATGAACTTCCCAACTTGCTTGATCAGCATCCTTTACCACTCATCTCATAAATGTGCAAACACATCCTGTTAGACCATCTCCACCCGGGGAGGTAAACTGCGGTGGTAAGCCAAATTTACCCCCCCCCCCCAAGCTCAAAAAACCCCTGCCACCGGGGGTGCTAAAGAGGAGGTAAATGTAGTTTCCCCCCCCTCGGGAGGTATAGCATTGCTAGATGTGCAATTGCTATACCAACCCATGTACCTCCCCAACCCAACGGTTTCACAGGTCAATCCTGGTGAAATCCAGATCCTCCCCCCCTATTGGGTGGCCTTTCACGCACAACACACCTACTTGATCACCCTGCGGTGGAAAATCAAGTTTTACCGGGTTGCTAATAGCTATAGGCGTGCCGCAGTCAAAAAGTTTGTAAATTTAACAACTCAAACGACCCTCTGGGGTGGAGATGGTCTTAGGCCTTTCCAAAGTGGTGTGTTAACTTTGGAATTGGATCATGAGGTGTAGTGCCAGCATAAGCATAAGACTTGGTCAAGTGTGACCTGTGACAGGTGGCAAGATCACGACATGTCTTGAACAGGCCTGCTACGCATATACATACATATGTCCCCTTGGTTGCCAACCCAGCCAACTTGAACGACATCACCAACCAAAACTTCAAGAACAGCCGAACCAACTACATACAGCCTTGAGCAACTCTCGATTAGTAACCCATTCAAAAACGTCATGGCATCCCCAGGCAGTCGTCCTTCTCCCGCACCAAGCACCCCAGGCTCGCAAGCACCGGCAGCCAGTCCAGCTGCTGCCATCAACCCGGCCACCAAGAAGAAGGAAATCACAGCTGTCCAAGCTGCAAAAGCCAAGGCGATGAAGTAAGTCTATCACATGCAATTAGGAAAAACCCACGTGTCCTGATTAATTCTCTATCTACTTTTTCAACCTTTTGAACAGTGTGTTGTAAGCAAATTCTCCTTGAACTCCGATATCGCAACATCCGTCGTTCTTCTTAGCTTACAGGCTCTTGCAATGTCAACTCAGCACTAGCGATGGTTCGTTCTTGGAAAGATTCAAAAAGATGAAGGTTCGTAACGCATTCTCAATAAGCAAGATCTTCTGCAAACTCTACTTGTCCTAATATATGCGTTCTCTTGGCAATCGATAGGAGGAGGAAGTGGAAAAGAAGAAACAGGAAGATGCCCTAGCACGGTAAGTTTCAGAGTTTTCTGCCTAGGTTTTTTTTATCTTTATTTTTCCTCTCCCCCTTTCTTTTGATGTGAGTGATTTGTTAGGTGGTTATCGACTTATTCCCTTGGAATTAGACAATGTGTATGTAAGCTGACTCGAAGCAGAGCTGAACAAATCGACCCAACAACGCTTCAAATTAATTCCAGTCTACTAGAAAAAGCAGCAGCCCAAAATCCAATTCTCTCATTCACTTTTTCTTTGAAAGCTTATGTTTGTTGACCCTATTGAGATTACCGTTTATACAGGAAGCAGGCTTTTGAACAGCGAATCGTGAGTGACAAGCCGTTTTTCACCTTTCTTCGCTCATCCATCATCATGGCTGTGTCCGCTGACACCACTTGGCTTACTGAAATCAACGAGCAGAAAAATCGTGGCAAAAGGACAGCCGACCCTAATGATTCAATATCGACATCCAAGAAGAGTAAAACCGAGGAAGAAGACAATGCATATCTTCGAGAAGTGCGTAAATTACAAGGCCACAGTCTTCGAGACGAGGGTGCGGGTGTTCGTGCTTTAGTGAAATAGAAGTCCAGCTAAGGTGATTTTCAACCAATTTGACAACAAGCGAGAGAAATTTGGGAAGCAAGGAGAACGCTAACATTATGCTTTCAACCCGTCATGCCGCTCTCATCCCACTACTTCCATCTGAATCTCATGTAGCATTTCTATATCATCATCCGTTTTTTCAAATTCGCAAGTTGTATTGCTCACTTTTCTGCTACAGTGTTTGCGATAAAAAAAATACTCGCGTTGATACCTTCTTGTTTTTCCTGGAAATTAATTGACCCAAGAAAAAAAAGGGCAAGTTTTTACTTGTAGAGTTCCAGGTTGACTGTTGTAACATTCTATCATTGGTGCAAGTTGATCTCAACCTCACTTTGAAATCTTCCATGGCAGTGTGGATCACAATATTTTCCAGTCCTTGCCCCCTTTGCATGTGCCACCAACTGACTGGGATTTGTAAGGACTCTGCCATTGGTGTAGCATATACTGCTTGATAGTCCATTCTTGCAGGAGCGCAGATCAAAATTGGCATGTCTACTTCTTTACAATGCCAGAGCAAATAGTGTATCCCTCCCAAAGAGTGTAGGACACAAGAGATGAGTTGAACCACAGACATCAATGGAAGGGAGATGAGGCAAACGGTGAGAAAATGTGAGCATAGGATGAAGGTAAAGTGACACCCAAGGGAATGGCTGATGAGGTGAATATCCATCAAAAGCAGAAGGAACTAATGTCTGCTCAGAGCTGGGACTTGCAGAAAATTGGCTGAAAAATCATGGACACTTGAAAAGCGAATGAAAGAGGATGTGCAAAAGCAAATCCAAAGCAGCTTGATGACATATTAAGTTGGCTTGCAGGTGATATGATGAGGCCATTTTTTAACATTACTACTGGGCCTGATTATTTCACTAGCAATTTGTTCTAAGTTTTTAGAAGGAAACGTGATATTGAATCTTGCCATCTAATATGTATGTAAACGGCCTTATTCATCTTGTTCAGGTTAAGCATCATTATCTTCAGGTAATATTTTATCTTGTGACCCTTCTCAAATTTAAAGGAAATTTGTTGAACATGAGTTAAGGGCTGTTTTATTTACGATTTGTGATCTGAATGAAATCAATCTGCTTGCTCTCAAGGAAATACATGGACACCAGACTCAAACGGCTGTTTATGTAATTTCACTTTGGGTCTTTGGAATGAAACCGATATGTACGTCGGAAGTTATGAGACGTTGTACACCCAGCTGATACTTGTTCCACTTAGCAGCCGGGAACTGCTTTGGTGAAGAGATGCTCGAGCGGTGGCTCAAACGGCCCGGGGTAACACTGCTTTTGAAACTAATCGGGCAGGTGGAGCAGAAATTATGTAGATTGTGGTGACATAGGGAGGCACTGTTCCTTGCTCCTTCCGTGACAAGCCGTGCTTCAGCTTTACCTGCCCGATGAAACGCGGCAAGGTTTCACCTCAGCGTAAATTGGGCACATCCGTACAATGGGTATTTCGTATCTATAGTGTAATTGGGTATGTATGCTTGCCTTCTTCGAGGGACCGCAGGATGGCTGAAACGTACTCTTCGGACTTCTTCGTCTCCCATCTTTTGACCAATAGTGGGGTACGTATGCCAGCAGCGACGAGACGGTCCACCGTACGATGTGATCAATCAATGACCTGACTCCTAAGCAAGCAGCATCAGGACTTCACATTTATCGATCGCTTCAGCGTCTTGAACCCATTTAACGGCCATTCGAAAGCTATCCTTCGTAAGGGGAATGACATACCTCCAAACCGATCAGCGTTGAGCTTAAAGTTCTTGAAGTCTCGGCTAATAACATCGAACCGCTTCCAAGTGACAGTTGGATCCCCTTTCCTCGAAACCCTCCTCACGAAATCGGCACTTCGACACTCCTTTACTGAAGGCTCACGTGCATAGGAAGAATACAATCGCTTTATAATACATACATTCGTTCTCTCAAACTTATTCATTAATTTTCTCGTTTTAATATGCTAATTCTGCCGCGGCAAATCTCGCGCTTAAAGCCCATATCATTCTTACTACTATGGGTTGGAACACATGTCCTTTTACAAGTTGGATGTTCAGAAAAAAATACATCCCCACAGAAACACTTCAGTTTCCCTCAGTCTCCTTCGGGAAACTACGAACCGTCCCGGGTCCCATGCCCGCAAGGCTTTCGTGTTCGTTTAGCTGATCAATATCCTGTAGGTGCTCGTAGCTATCCTTCAACTCAATTTATCCACTAGATTGATTAAGTGAACATCCGTCTTCCCTAAGTGGCCCATCAGTCCCGGCGAGCATGACTATACAACAGAAAAAGCAAACAAATCTATTCCGCTATGGGCGGGTTATTTAAATCGACTTCGTCTACAAGACTTCAATGTCACTCAATTTTTAGAGTCTGCCATCAGCAATGGGGGGGCGCCTGGTGAATCCCTTCCCAACATCGCATTCGCAACATCTGGTGGTGGTGACCGAGCTTTATTATTCAGTGCCTCGATGTTAGATGCATTTGACTTCAGAAACGAAGAAGCCGTCGAAGCTAGAACCGGCGGGATATTGCAATTGGCAAACTATGCCACAGGCCTCTCCGCGTAAGTAAACTGCGGAGGAGGGTCTAGAATCGGAGAGCGAAGAATGAATCTAATTTTCTGTGGTTTTATAGAGGCGCTTGGTTGTTAACAAGTTGGGCCACTGCTAACTTTGAGCGCATGCCTGATCTCAATGCAACTGTTTGGGGACTCAACAAACAAAAAGGCTATCTTTCTTGGAGTTTACTGAAAGCTTTACCAAAGCACCTTTTACAAGCGGCACGGAAGAAAAAAGCTGGGTTTGATATCAGTTTTGTTGAGTAAGTTTCAAGGGTTATCGAGCATTTGCTAAATTTGAAAGGTTCGACCTAATTTAGCGTTTCTTTTCCTAGCATCTGGGGGCGTATGCTGTCCACCCAATACATGTGGGTGATAGAACCTCCTCCAAACTAAAAAAAAGCTGCTTAATTGTACGCTGGCTAATGTTTCTGGATTGCACTGCAGCGATGACCCGGAAGACGGAAAAGGTGTATTATTTTCCTCCATCAAGGAGACACCTTCCTATAAAGCGCGCGAGTTCCCACTCCCGATCTTAACTAGTCTTTCGAGGAGGGCGTCGGGTGAACAGATTACATTGCAAAGTCCGATTTGTCCGTATTTCCAGATTCTCACTTCCCCTTTTTACAGTCTCCTGATTTCATTTCATGGGATTCCAACAGACGAAATGACACCCGAGGATTTCTCCGTATGGCACCCTGGGCTCAATGCATCAATCCCGATGGAATATTTGGGGAGTAGGATGTCTTTTGGAGAGGGTCGAGCGGTGTCGTGTGTGAAAGGTTTCGACAATGCAGGGTTCATATTTTCATCTCTTGGGGCTTTACGGAAAAATTGAGACACCCTAACCAATTTTTCTCTTCCATTCACATTGAATTTCAGGTTCCTAATGGTAAATCAATTTGTGGTCATATCTCCCATTGTGAAATGCTATTTGCTAAAGCATCAATATTTGCTTCATTGAACTTTTGCTTCTGCCCACTTGAAGGGGGTTTCCAGCAATGTTTTTAGTTTTCAAGTAAGTTTCTATTCCCGAGTCAGTTTTTTAATCAAATAGGACAAAAAAATCTAAGGTTGTTTTCCATTTGCTTATAAGGATGGATCAAATACAACACCCAACCTTGGTGAAAAAATCGCCAATGCATTAGTCAAGGGAACGTTTTACGAAGCTTTGGTCAGTGGTCGATATTTATACAGCATGCGGAACAAAAGCTTTTTGTTTTTGTTTTGGAATGATTTGTTCATGGTGCCTTTTTCTTTTCTAGATACCCAATCCTTTCTATGGACAAAAGTCTGGACTTCCATCTGGTAGCGGTGGATTTGTCGATTCCAACACAGAAACTTTGCTTCTGGCTGATGGAGCTATGGCCCAAGAAAATCTACCGTTATTTCCATTGCTCCAGCCCTCCAGAAAAGTTGACGTGATTCTTGCATTGGACGCCGTTGAGTTTCATTCGATTTTCTTTATCTTCAATCTCACAGGTAAAAATTCAACCAGCCCCCTGACGCATATGATTGTGCTTAGACTGTGAATGGCCACGCCTTTGATGCGCCCAACGTGGATGGATGTAAGGAAACATTCCATCAAGCCCTACACCGTCAATATAGTCAACAACTAAAGCTAGAGACAAACAATCGTGACACAACCCACAGATCCTAATGGAACCGCACTGTACCAGACATATCTGAAGCTCCAGAATCCGGATTTCCAAAATTATCCATTCCCCGAGTAAGTCTCCTCCCTCCAACACATTCCTCCTCCCATTAATTCATTCATCCCCAATTGGATTGGAATTGAGAAACATCAGTTGATTTCTCTATTCCTTTGGAATTCTTAATTTTTGAAAAATTGTGAACCAAGAATCCCAAACAGTCTTAAGAATAATTTTGTTTCTGGTGGATACAATAAAAGACCAACTTTCTTTGGTTGCAAAATGGAAGCCGGGCCCTTGATCATCTATTTACCCAACTATTTCGCATCTCATCGGACCGACATGAAAACTCTGCAGACGGATTTTACTGTCAGTGAACGGCCAGGATTTATATTTTGATCACGTAATTTCAACGCGCAGGGAGCTATGCTGACACATTTGCAAAATGCTGCAATTGTTTTCTTTCAACCTCGGCCGCTAAATAATTTTAGGGAGACGAGATTGACGGGTTCTTCAAAAATAGTTTCCTGATCGCAACCCAGAAGAATTCAACCCTCAACGATCCCGAGTGGCCAGAATGCTTGGCTTGTGCCCTGATTGACAAACAGCAAAAAAGATTAAATAATCCAAGAACACCTCAATGTATCCGATGCTTCAAGAAGTATTGTGGTTAATTCTAAAGACACTTTTTTGACCATTTCTTCATTCATGTGTACAAAAGTTAGAGTTTTAGCTTGAATTCCCAACTTGGAACAAACCTTGAAGCGGCGGTGTGCCGTTGAGATTGCGATACTTGTCCTCCGGTTTGTTGCATATCGGCCCATTCTTGTTTTTTGATTGAAAAAAGTATCTCATCATCGATACTTGTAAATGCAAGCAATCTGTATCCGCTGTGATTGAGGGCTATTTTCCAGCCCTGCATGCTATCGTCATTGACACTCTGAAAATGACAATAGAAAGCAATCCAATTTATAAATAAGAAGAAAATACATAGATCTTATTTATTGATTTGAAGATGGAACCCCGACAGAAAGAACAATTGCTAGACAAGAAAAGGCAGCCAAGCATATGAATTGATGGTGCTGAGCTCTCCTATACCCAAAATTATACATTTGTTAAATATTGAACCATTTCTGTGGCTCAATTCTGCTTCATTTCATTTCATTTTGATTTAGTTTCATGTTTATTTGATCATTACATCTGCTTGTTTCCTCTAAGTTACAAAATATTGGAAGCTTCTAGTTCATCAATTCAACAATCCACACATGAATTAGCAATGCACCGACCCCAGCAAGCATTCTTCTAGAAAACTATCTTCCTCACGTACTTTGTACAGCGGTGGGCCGCTACGCTACACTACGCTACACTACGCTACGGGCCCATGTAGCGTTAGCGTAGCGGCGCCATTTTTTTTTTTTCGCGTAGTGTTAGCGCGCCGCTACAGCCGCTGCGCTACGCTAATTTGTAGCGGCGCTGACACTCGCCAATTTTTGGTGTAGTGTTAGCGCGCCTCTGGCGCCGCTACGCTGCGTTACGCTACGCTGCGTTACGCTACGCTACAGCGTTTTTAGCAGCAAAAAAACCCTAAAAACCGCTAAAAACTGCTGTAGCGCAGCGTAGCGGGCGGGTTTTTGCGCCCTGCGCGCGTAGCGTTAGCGCAGATGGGGGGAATCGCGCTAACGCTACGCTAAACGCTAGCGCAAGTTTTTTCCCCATTCGCGTAGCGTTAGCGCGGAAAATGAGAAAAGCGCTAACGCTACGCTAAATTGTAGCGGTTTTTCGCTACACTACGCTACGCTAACGCTACGGTTAGCGTAGCTGGCCCACCGTTGCTTTGTATCCATGGTTATACCCGCGCGGGGCGGCAACTTCTCCTTGTTCTGTAGGAAAGATGGCAAAACATTTGCTCATCCAACATAAGACATAGGGCAGTTTTCAAGAACCTTCTTCTATCCACTGTTCAAATCCAAAACTTTGACTGTTGCTTCGCAATGATTCCAAAACTCCAATTTGTTATGAGCTGTGGAGGACTGGAACCGGGGATGTTACATATGTAGAGAGCCTGTTATGTACATGTCACAAACTTTGAACTTGGAGTTCGTTTGAGATCCACACCTTGTACATTCCTCATCTTGCAATCTACCATCAAGAACCAGAACCCAGAAGATCCCTCCTGCTCTCCCCAGAACACCCCTAACATATTGCAAGATCAACCTACATGGAGACCAGGACAGAACACCCAGAACACCGAACCTCAAACCTTGAAATTCAACTCAGAAAACCCTCCTCTCAAACCTTGAAAATCAACTCCCTGAAACCTTGTCTATCTCACCTCCCAACCTTATTACTCACTGCCCTACATCCCTCCTTACCTCTCACAGCCCTCACAGGACCCCCAGGAACCTCTCAGGCCCCCCAGGAGTCTCTTGTTGGTGTTGGATTGTCACGGATCATCACAGATTTTTGATTCTAGTCGTTTTTGGAGTTCTATAGAGTTTGATGAAGGTGTCACAGAAAGTACTTTTGCCCCTGATTCTGAAGCACCCAAAGGTTCTGCAAACACACCCTAGCCTCTTTGACCCCTGACACATTGAGCATGTCAAAACTGGTATGAACTGGTAGTCTGGTATTTATGTGGCCCAAATTTGATACTCCTTTCATTCTTGCGCTGTGAGCATGTATCTAGCCTTTGCCCTTTTACCTCTCTCCGTAAAATCATCCATTCAAGGTGGCGATTCCCTAGTCACTAAGCAGGATGAAGTGGTTGTTGACAAAATTATCAGTGTCATTACTTTTCACCGTCTTAGTCTTTCTCATCCCACCGGAAAAGGGCTTGACACCCCTTGATCATCCATCATTTGATTTGAACCTGCCTCCGGCAGAGGAAACTTTGATGGAGTCTTTTGATTCTGTAGAACCAACTTCATCTTCACATTTTTCAGGGGAAAGTTCCCCTCAAGTGACCAATCAATCCTGGCAGCCTCAATCCAGCACTTTTGTCTTGCAATGCCTTTCCTTAAAGCAAGACATTCAGTTACCCTGCAAGAAAAAAATCACACTCTTATCCCAAAGATTGAGGAAAAGACGTCCTCCCCGCAACAATCAGAGGGATAGAAACCTTTGACAAAACTCTGCAAAGATTTACATGGCAAGAATGAAGCAAAGAGCGCACAAAACAGTCAACAGATGCTGAGCGTAATACCTCAAACACATAAATCAGAAAGCCGGTGTAAGACTCAAAAAGTGATTGTAAGATCCTTTTTGCTGAATGGAGAAAGGGATGAAATGAGCTGCAAACTCTGCCTTTCTATATTATCAGAAAACAAGACCACCAAGGTAAGCTTGGCAGTTTGGTTGGTGATAATGGATTATGTTCAAAGATGGTTGTATAATTGTTGAAGGTTGATCTTGTTGTCCAAAGAATTGATTGTGTTGCTGATGTTGTTTCTCGTCTTGATGTCTTGATACTCGTGCTCTTCCTTGATGCTGTATATGTATAATGTAATAGAGGTGGTTCTTGAACCCAAAGGGTCTGGGAGCACTATGCTTCAAACAGGACTGGAACAAAGGACTGGCTCTTCTGTGTAATGTTTGTGAAATGAACTGTGTATATATTTCAATCTGTGAACTGTACTACTCGTGAACTTCTTGTGTAATAAATATATGTAATCTGTGACAGGTGTCCCACCAAAAAATGTGTACTGAGTGGGATGAGGAGGGAAACAACTGGCAGGCAGAGGCCTCCTTATATAGTAATTTATGAGGGATTTTAGCCCCAAGGGACCCCCTGTATGAGGCATTTTAGCTGCCCTATCCTTGAAAATCCTGAGGGATTTTGGCTAGACTATCTACAACGCATTCCTTTTATATGTAAGCTGTAAGAAAGGAATTCATGTGTTCTGTGGCTGAATAAATGGGAATTTAACTGATACAACTGGTGGCCAACTTGTGGTTATGTAAGTATAAAAGGAATTCAATATGGATAAAAGGAATTCAATATGCAATATGAAATATACCCCCATGCAATATACCCTCCAGCTGAGTGCCTCTGATCCTGTGATCCTCCGTGTGACATCCTTGATTCTGCGTAACTTCTGATCCAGTAGAGATATGAAGGTGGTTCCAGTGAGTGACTAGGGGTTAATTTGGCCGTAGAATCCATTTCTGACGTCCATTTGTCCATATCTTGAGTCCTTCATTGATAAATAATAAAATTTTGAATTTTCTTCCTTCATACACAGGAATAATGACCACATCCTCCCCCAACTTATTGACTGTCCCCAGTCAATTCTGATTTTATGACTGTGTTTGAAGGCTAAACCTTGTTTATTTTATATGGTAGAGTCTAAATTTATATGATAAAATGATAATAATAAACTTTGATAATTTTTATGTTTATTTTATTTTAGTGGCTAATTTGGTTGAGACTGGGAATTGAACAGGGAGCCTTCTTATTTCTCAGAATTTTACTCCTTGGTTGAGAATTGAACCCAGAATTTATTGTGTATAAAATTTGATCAAGGGTGGGATTGGAACCCATGTCCTTGGTGTTGAATTGTGTGGGGTTTTGGGTTTTGCCTAGTTGGGGACTGGAACTGGGGTCCTGATTGGTTGACTCCAAATTTGAAGTGTTTGGATTTCTGGGTGTGGGAGCCCTCTTCACCATTCACAGGACCTTTCACATCCTCGGATTTGGGTTGCTGCGCGCGCAGTAGTCCTGAAAGCCGCGCCGTCCGCTCCCAAATTGTTTTTCTAGTCTTTCTCCGTCTCGGAGACCTTTCACAAGCCTTTCACAATCTCTCCGCCATATCCCAGCATATCTGCCCCGGCCCGGTAGTGGATATTCCTCCCTCAACTCCTCTCTTTCTCATACACCTCTATCCCCTCAACTATCCACCTCTCGATCGATCTTCTTGACGATCTTCTTGACGATGGATCCCTCTAATTCGTAAGTTGGTTATCTTCTGTTCGATTCTTTTTAACCTGCGCTAATCGTTTTTTCGTTTTGTTTTTTGCAGATTATTCCCTAAACTGGCCGCGCTGCCATCCCCGTCAACTATCCCGACCTCTTGAACCAGTCCCGCCAATCTTTCCTTCTTCATCGGCCTCGACCCGGTAGTGCTTAGTCTAAGAATCCCAACCGTCTAGCCTCCATTCCTCATCCGCCTTCCTTTCCCGGTCGATCCGCCCTCCATACTATTCACCTCTTCGATTGATCTTCTCGACAATCTTCTTGCCAATATTTCTCAAAGGTTGACTCTTATCCATTTACCCTCTTTTCACATGTTTGTTTCCCCGCATTAACGTTAATGGTTCCGACTCCGTCGATTCTTCCCTGAATCTATTTGATTCACTAATATCCGTACAGGCGAAATCGATTCCCCTCCTCTTTTGACCTTCAGCCACTTCTTAAGCCACTTCAATCGCCCAGTCTACCCTTGGCTTGGTTGCTCCTCTACGACGTCCGTTCTACAAACCGGCCCGGTAGTGTATTTCCAGTCCTTTATTCTTTTATCCAAGCTAATCCCTCTTTGGTCGACCCAAGCCTTCACATTCCCTTTCAAATCGACTCCCTTTGCTGGCTAATCCTGGCAGCTTTCGACTCGGTCTTTCATATTCTTATTTGCGTATCTTCCCCCAAAGGTAACAAGCATCTTCCCTTTCTTTGTTATGCTTAACCGATTCAATCCTCAGGGGGGTCAATGGGGTCCCCCTGAGAACACTCGACTTCGCCGCCGCTTCCTCGCCTTCCAGTCTCCAGTATGTAAAGGCCCTCTCGAATTGTCCTTCTCAACTTTTTCCCCAGTTTGACTTCCAACAGCAACATCCGCAAGACTTCCCAAACTCGTCATCTTCATCACCAAATCTTCCCCTTTACTTCATTATTACAGGATGGTGACCACCCGTTCTAAAGCTCAGACCCCCAGCTGTCCACCTCAGGTGCGTTTCTTTTCGTCTTTGTCCCTTATGAGCGTTTACTTTCTCCGATAACTGATTCACTTCTTTCCTTTTCCTTTGTACAGGTCAGCGATGTCTCCCCGGTCCTTCGCTCGGTAAGTCTTTGCTTTTGACTTGTTTTTGTCCTTACTGACTCGAATCTATTACTGATAACGCTATCCTTTGTTGGTGTTCCAGGGTTTTCAGACCCTCTGCTCAGCCTCCTCGGCCTCTCCCGCCGAACTTCATGCCAACAAATACATGATTTCAGGCCCGGTGCGTCCCTTCACCCCGGTAAACTCTCCCGCGACTAAGGTTCCCGTGCCGGTACGTCGCTTCGTCTTTCTCAACCGCATCTCCACCTTTTTTACTGACTTATCAATTGATTTTTTTTTTACAGATCCATCCATCGACTGTGGCCCTGGAATCAAGTCGCGCCCAGGAACATGTCGATCCACATTTGGTAAGCTACAACTTCATTTATCCTTGACTCTTTCTTGTTCATGATGCTGAACCAGATTCTATTTATTCCTTCATTTGTTTTCTTTAGGTTCAAGAGGGCATCAACTTCTATCCCCTCCAAAGCCTTTGGTCCCCGGCTTTTACCCCCTCGGCTGGAAATCTTCCACCCGGACTCCGAAGTCCCAACTTCATTGACTCCGGCTCGACTGACGGGCCTTCGGCCACTGAATCCTCAAGCTCCTCCATATCTGACGGCTTCAGCTCTGGATCCGAGTCTGAATCCAGCGCCCCGGCTTCGGCACCTCCATCAATCCCAAACTCCTCGGCGTTCCCATCTCCATCCTCTTCGGATCTCTGCTCGGTTCCGCCCTCGGAGATATTCTACGCCAATCGACCAAGACCACAACCTGTCGCCACTGGGTCTGGTAACTCCTACGATGACCCAATGGTCATCGACGACAATGCCGCCGCCGATTCTGATCCAGAATCGCTTCCCTTCGGCCCGACCACCAAGTGGGGCTCCACGCAACAGGCTCGTCCTCCAACCAATCCCGTCAATCCTGACCCTTCGGCTCGAGAAATGATGGAATTCGATTACAATACCATTTGAAATCGCCTTGTCGGTTCAAGCCCGTTTCCATTCGGCACTAAGGTTTATCGTGAGGAGGACCTCCTCTTCATGTTCCAACATGTCGCCAACGATTTCATTCACTTGACCAATAAGTATCCCGCCTCAACTCTCGGCAAAATTGAGGATCGCATCCAGTTTTATCAAAACCTTCAATGGGTTTTCACCGCTGACCGCCAAGTTTTCTTGGCCACCCACTGCGGCTATCCCTAAGTAAGTAGTCTTTTCTTTCATCCTTCTTTTACCAGCCCTTCTTCATCATGCTGACTAAAAAAAACTCTTTTTAGCTTTTCCCTTTTATGAATATTCCCCAACTACTAGGCTATAAGTGCCTCTTCCTTTCTTCTTCCTCCCCCCATATATAAAAGAAAAAAATACTAAAAAGAGAGAAAAAAAACTTAAAAAATTCTAAAAGAAAAAAATAAGTTTCTTTTATGTACTATTATCAGCCCTCTTGTATATAGGTTTATTTTTAAATCAGGCTTGCTCCTTGTGAGGTGAGGCCCACCCAAGTGTCTTCTTGACCTCCTGGGACTATGAGATCTTCTGAGAATGAAAAAATATTTTGTACATAAAAACTTTTTCTGGGTACTTTGAGTTCTGACCCAGAATCAAGAAACACTCTTGATTTGAGGTAAGTCAAAAAGGTTTTAATTTTTTAAATAAGTCAAAGAAAGAAAAAAAGGAAAAGAACCCCCTCCCCCAACTTATATGGTTGTCCTCAACCATTCTTCAGGGAAGAAAACAAAAAACTTGATTCAAGACTGAGGTCATAAGAGATGAATCTCCTCCCCCAACTTTTCAAAAAAAATGAGTATGAAACTGATATGTTTTTGGTATTTTAATGAGTTATACTTGGATTTTTTTTTTTTTTTTTTTTTAATAAAGTCAGAAAGAAACTGATGAAGATAAAATGAAGAGAATATATGATAAAGATAAAAAAAATGAAGAATTTTTAATCCATGTCTGAATCTGAATTGGCATCATCTTTTTCTGAGTTTTGATCTGATGCTGAATCTAAAGATGAATGGGAGTCTGAGTCTGAATCTGAATCTTCCTCATCTGCCCTTATTTCCTCCAAGTCCCTCCCTCTGGAATAAAATCTCTTAATATGGGAGGCAGCATAAGCTCTTTTTAATTCCACACCATCCAATTCTTCAAGAATATAAGATCCTCCTTCAAGCTGTTTTTTAATTTTAAAAGGGCCATTCCATCTGTTTTCAAATAATTTACCCCACTGATCTTCCAAGCTTTTATTATAAGTCAAAACCATTTCGCCAGGTGCCAAAGGATTCCGGAGTCTAGCCGCCATTTTTCTGTCCCAAAATCTGACTGAGGATTCTCGAGTGTCTTGGAGTTTCTGGTAAGCTATTCCCAAGAGTTCTTCTTTCCTTTCGAGTTGCTGAGTTCTGGCTTCCAATAATTCCGCTGTTGTACTGACTTCCATCCAATCAATTCCCAAATAGGTATCCATTTCGAGGTCCACAGGAAGAACCGACTTTTGACCAAAGACTAATTCATATGGGGAGTAACCTGTTGATCTTTTTGTGGAAATTCTGTCAGAAAAAAGTACTAATGGTAAATATTCCCGCCACTTTCCACCAGATTCGCCGCACATCTTGATCAAGGCATCCTTAAGTGGTTTATGGCCTCTTTCAATCATTCCGTTTGCTTCAGGATAGTAGGGTGTTGTTGGTTTGAACTTGGCCCCAATCTTCTCGACTGCACTGATAAATTCACTCTTGAATTCCGGTCCGTTGTCTACCGTCACCGTCTTGATTGCGCCGTACCGATAGACCCATTCCTCCAAAAGAAATTTTCCAATTTTTGCCGCAGTCAATTTTTCTAGAGGAGCTGCTTCCACCCATCCAGATAAATCGTCTCGAGCCACTAGTAAATATTTATATCTTCCAGCCTTGATGTGACAGACGTCCAACGCCACTCGTCCAAATAAGCTACTTTCGCCGGTAGGGTTTCTGATTTCTCGGGGAATTAAAGAATCCCTTTTCTGACATGCTTCACAACTCTGAACCCACAGCTTGACCTGCTTCTTAAGACTTGGCCACCAAAATCTGCAAACCAGCCTCTGATAAGTTTCTTCCAGGCCTCTGTGTCCTAGATCCTCGTGGACTTCTTGGAGTAATTTGCACTGATAATCGTGGTTGGAAATGACCAATTGTCCAAGAGGTGAGTGTCGTCGCATAAGTCGTCCATCTTGAATGAAAAAGTTGACTGATTTTCTTTTTAATTTCCTGAAATCTTCTGGGTCCATCCCAGTTGGTCGTTTTAGAGTCATTAAGTAACGCTTAAGGTCCATCCAATATCCAGAAGCTTTCCATTTCTTTAGGCTCAAATGAAAGATTGGATACATTGATATGAACACAAGCTCTAATAACTGGTTCTTCTTCGTCAAAATCTTTTTGATCCTCGTAAAATTCTGGTTCTTCGTCACTGATTGGTCTTCTGGATAATCCGTCCGGCAGGGTGAATGTACTTCCTTTCTTGTGGACTATGTCAAAAGAAAATAACTGAATAAAAGCCACCCATCTAGTCATAGGCGCATTGGGTAGTGATGGTGAATTAATCATCTGGATTAAGGATTGTGCATCAACTTGAAGTTCGAAGTGTTGACCCCAAAGATATATCTGTAGCTTCTTCAAAATTCTTGCCATCCCGCAGAGCTCCAATTTAGGTTGTGAGTATCTCGATTCCACAGGTGAGAAAACAATTGATTCGTAAAGCACAGGTCTGTCCAGTCCAGTATCCAATTCTTGCTGCAAAAGAACTGCCCCAGCGGCTATAAAACTTGAATCCACCGCTAATTTAATTAATCCTGCGTCCTTTGAATAATCCAACTTCTTCAAGGTGATTTCCTCCCCAATAATCTCCTTCAATCTTTCAAAAGACTTGTTACAGCTTTCTTCCCAGACCCAGTCTATATCTTTCCTCGTGAGTTTTCTGAGAGGTGCCGCAATTTCTGAGAGATTCTTGATAAATATTCTGACGTAAGTGACAATGCCCAAAAATCCCCGTAATTCTGTTATGTTATGCGGAGTTGGCCACGTCTTCACTTTATTTTTCTTCTGAACTGAAACTCGCCGTCCTTCCTTACAGACCACGTGACCTACAATGTCCAAAGCTGGGACACAGACAGCAAACTTCTTTCCCGAAATCGTAAGGCCTGCTTCCTCAATTCTGAAAAGAACTCGTTCCAAGGTTATGGCGTATTCCCAGATGAACCGACGGATCCCCGGATTTTCTTCTAAGACTTCGTTGTTATATGTACTAGCTGGACCTTTGATTCCCCCATCATCTATGAAAACTCCTACATGCTCTGGAATCTCATCTTGAAGAATCCACATCATCTGAGCTTGATACACTGCTACTGAATTTGTGGCCCCTTGAGGAAGTCTGGTAAGCTGAAATCTTCCCAAAGGTGTGTCGAAGGTGGTTAAAGGTCGTGATTCTTGAGCTAATTCGCGTTCATCATATCCACCCATGATATCCCCCAGACCGTAACATGCACATCCTGCAAAAGATTCGACAAATTCTTCCGTAGCTGGAGGCAATCCAGCATCCTTGATTGTGACTTTATTCATTTCTTGAAGATCGTGGACTATTTGTAACTTCCCATCCGCCTTGGCAACACAGAAAACTGGACTAGAATAACTGGAAGTTGATTGTTCATATAAACCAGTCCTTATCCGCTCCCTGACTAATTCTACATAATCGTCTTTAATTGCAGCCGGAATTGGTATTGGTTTCTTCTGCCATGGTTTGTGGTCCACTACTGGTATAACGTATGGTAATCCGTAAGAGTGTTTGAGAAGTCCTCTTTCTCCCGTACAGAAAGCTATGGCCTTTTCTCTGATGACAATTCTTGAAGAGCTTCAATTCCTCGCTTGACAGCCATCCTTCTGGTCCAAAGTTCACCATCTTAAGTCGTTCCTCCGTCACCTTCTCAGTTGGTACAAATTCAGGTGGGTTAGGTGTAAGTGGTGTTTCGTATGGGTCCCTCGAAAGAGCCGGTCTTTGAAGTGGTGGATTGAGAGCCTGCGGAATTGCTTCGTTAATTGGCCTGATCTTCTTAGCCACTGATTTATACTTCGTCATACACCAAAGTCCTCCGTCTCTCCAAGTTTGGCACAAGCGTTCCTGAAAAGAAATCCCAAGGCACTTTGACAGCAACGTTTCCATCTTCTTATTGTCGCTTGATTGTATGAATTTTGGTTCTGCCAAAGCTGATGTAAGCTTTGAACAAACAACAGCCTTCTTCTCTGAAACAACTTTGTCAGTTAACTTTGGGGAAACCTCCCCCAACTTCTCAATTTTACCCTTACAGGTCTTCAACATAAGGGAGGTAACCCCATAAAAACACTGGATGAAAAGAAAAATGTCCACAAAAAAATTCAAAATTTTACCCGCAGGAGTTTCGTGAGCGTCATTCCGGATACTGTTGGTACTAAGATCCTTCATGTTGTTCCATCCTCTTCCTTTTCCAGTTCTTGCAAGTGGAACTGAAACCTTTCTTCCTTTGGTTCCTTGGAAGCTTAAAGTTTCACCGGTTTCTTGATATTCTAGCGTTGTGGTCATTATTCCTGTGTATGAAGGGAGAAAAATTCAAAATTTTATTATTTATCAATGAAGGACTCAAGATACGGACAAATGGACGTCAGAAATGGAATCTACGGTCAATTTAACCCCTAGTCACTCACTGGAACCACCTTCATATCTCTACTGGATCAGAAGTTACGCAGAATCAAGGATGTCACACGGAGAATCACAGGATCAGAGGCACTCAGCTGGAGGGTATATTGCATGGGGGTATATTGAATATTGCATATTGAATTCCTTTATTTCATATTGAATTCCTTTTATACTTACAGAACCACAAGTTGGCCACCAGTTGTACCAGTTAAATTCCCATTTATTCAGCTACAGAACACATGAATTCCTTTCTTACAGCTTACATATAAAAGGGA